CACTGCTGTCTTAGGATTTGCTCACCCATGGCAGAGGGCGGAACTGGGTGAGCTTTGAGGTCCCTTCCAACCCAAACCATCCCGGGATTCTGTGATTCCTGGGATGATCTGAGAGGGATAAAAGCCGTGGAGAGCCTCTCCAAAGCCAGCAGAATTAAACCAGATAGAATCTTTCCAACTGGGTCGGTGTGAATTATTCATAGCAAATAATTTATTCACCAAACTCGACCTCGTTTCCCACAGCAGCGCTCCAGTGTCCCGAATTTATTCCTGTCTGGGGATCATTCCCAGAGCAGTTCCTGTCCCAGAGGCTTATGGGGTGCTCTTAATAATTCAAATCTGTCGGGGTGCCAGTAGTTTTCCAGGCACTGTGTGCTCCTCTTCAAAACTGTGCCAGGGAACAGGATATAGGGTGTAGTAGTTTTTTCTGGGTCAGGCTGAAATGCAGCAATACACCTTTGATCCCGGGATGAATTTCCCTCCTATTTCTCCAACCCTTTCCCTGCCTTTTGGGCCATTGTCCAGGCAGCTCCTGAGCAAAGCTGAAAGTGAATTTATTCCTGTCACAGAGATTTGGTTCCTCGTTAGCGCTGCCTTTGTTAATTCCCAATTAAACAGCGCCGGGGCCGCCTCCTGACCGCGCCCGGACCCCGCGCCCCGAGCTCTGCCTCCCGACCCCGCCTCTAATCAGCCGCTCGTTATCAGCACCGCGTTAATTACGAGACTCCGGAGACATCGGCGGTGCTGCTGCCTCCGGGGCCCTCTCCTGCTTTAACGAGCTCCAAATCCAACTAATGAACCGCGGGGGCTGCGGGCGGGATCCCAGAGCGGAGCGGGGACTCCACCTGCTGCCGGCTGCGCCTCCTCCCCCGGGGCCGGGGATTCCTGTCCTGGCAGCTCAGGGCTCCTGGCAACCACTTCCACCTTTTTCCCCCCCTTTTTTTCCCCTTTTTTTTTTCCTTTTCCCCTTTCTTTTCCTTCTTTTTTAATATGTTTCCCATTATGAATTCACCCGAGCGCCCCTGGCTCCTCCCAGGAGTGACAGAATCCCAGGATGGTTTGGGTTGGAAGGGACCTCAGAACAGTGAGCAAATCCTAGAACAGCAGAGTGATGTCAAAGAGGTTTTCTTCCCCCTTTTCGTCTGATGGGATAGAAAAGACTAAAATTGCTGGCATCACAGAATCATTTAGGATGGAGAAGATCATCGAGTCCAAACACTGATCCAGCCCCTGGGTTGTGGTTGGCGATTCCCACGTGATGCAAGTTTTTCATCAGTGCAGGCAAGGAGCAGCAGGCTCCTAAAATTTCCTTCTGGGCTCCAAAAATATGGGAAATTATCCAAATTAGAGCTGGGTTTTTTTCTGTTTGTTTTGGTTCAGTTATTTCTGTTGTTATTGGGATTTTTTTGGTTCGTTGTTGCTTTTCCTTTTTTTTTTTTTTTGTTCCCCCTTTTCCTTTTCCCTCGTCTTTTTCCTTTTTTCTTCCCCTTTTCCCTCCCTTTTCTTTTTTTCTTCCCTCCCTTTTCCTTCCCCCCCTTTCCTTTCCCTCCTTTTCGTTTTTCCCCCCATTTGACTTTTTTCCCCTTCATTCCCTTTCCCTCTCCTCTTCCCTCTCAATTTTTTCCATCCTATTTCAAACCATGAGCTACAGCTCTGACACAGCCTTGAAGCACAACTTCAAGCAGAAGAAACAGAAAAAAATGGGGTGAAAGTTAATTTTTTTAAATTGAGTTCACTCTAAACAACTTTTTCAATTTTTTTTTTTTTTTTTTTACCTATGTCTTGTCCCTAAATCTTTGAGAAAACTTCAGGTTTTCTCTTCTAGCCTGGTGCAGGATGAAAATCAAAAGTTCTTGACTGAATTTTTCAAGGAGAAATGTTGGGTCAAGCAGAATATTCTGAGTTTGAAAAATATTACCAATTTCAACTGGATTCCTTTTAAATGGATCCTCTAGAAATGAAGAGGAATTAAATACAGATAAAATTAGAAAGTAAGCCTGGAAAAGCTTGAAATTTCAAGCTCTGCACAAGGAGATATTTTTATGTATAAGGTTATTTTGTAATATTGAAAGGAAAAAAGTTAATATAATTTTTGTTTGCAGTTTCAGCTTTTTGGCTGAATTTCTGGCATTGGGAAAACACACCAGACAATGTTCAAGGATCAAATCCCTCCTGGCTCCTCTGGGTGCCCACAGGGATTTGGGGCTGTGGGGTGACAATGTCTCACCCAACCCACCCTCACCACCCCAGCCATGATGGCACAGCTGTTTTGGATCCAAGATGAATTAATTCTTTTCTTCCAGCTGCTCCATCCTCAGCAGGAGCTCTCAGACATGCCAGATATTAATTTAAAGAACAGATTTTCTCAAGCCAGGGGCTTCCAAGACAGGAATTTTCCCTGGTTTTGGGAGGATCTTGTGTGGCTTTAGCTGAGGCCTGTTTGCTTTGGCTGCTGCGGGTTCTGAGGCATTTTTCTCTTATTTTTTGGCTTTTTTTTGGCCAAGAAATGGGCAGCTGGAAGGGGCAACCTGCAGCTCACCTTGGCAGGGCAAGAACTCCTCAAGTGCTGCCCAAAGGGAGGTGAATCCCAGTTTGGCACCTGAGGGGACACAGGGACTCATCCCATCACAGCTTCCCTCTCCTGAGCCCCTCAACCTCCCCTTTCTGCTCCCTGCTGGGTTCTCACATTGGGGATTCCAATGGCCTGGAGCTGTCTGAGTGACCAGTTTGACCAGTTTGGATACTGGGATGGAGAAAATGGCAGTGCAGAGGGAAATGCAGGGAGCAGGGCAGGGAGGTGCGGTAGGGAGAGCCTCTTCCAGATGCCTGTTTGCAGCAAAATGTGGGTTTTGGTCAGCTAAACTTCCAAAAGTGGGAATCCCCTTGGAAAATCCCCTAAATCCTCTGTTCCTGGCTCAGATTGAGGAGGAAAGCACTGCTCAGTGCAGCTGTGGGTGGCCTGTGTTGTGCCTCTGTATCCTTTGGGAATTCAGCTGGGGACACCTGAGATGTGCCCCAGTGGTTTTTGGGGGTGGTTTCTGTGAGGATAGAGCTCTCCTGTGGGGAATTGCTCCTCATTTGCCTGTTCTTCACTTGCATGCATCTTCTTTCTCTCTGCATCCCTTCCCTCTCTCCCACTCCTAGTGGGATTCTGGGACTCTCTGATTGCTAACTGTGGGCTCTCATTGATGGTTTTTTGTAACTTTTTGTGTGCTGAGGGCAGAATTTGAATTAATTCCCGTTTCATGTGACATGAGTGAACAGAAAAAAACCCGTGGTGTTGCCAGCACTTGTCACTGTTGCTGACTGAGAGGCTGAACTTTGATTTCCCTGTCTCTGAGGCTGGGCAGACACAGAATGACCTCTGGGTATGCTGTGAGGGAAAGCACAAGGTTTGTCCCAGACTTCAGGGGACAGGGACGTTGTTACAGTGGTCTCTGGTCCCTGCAGGATGCAGTGAGAGCTGAACATGTGTAAATAGGTTAACAAGGAGATTTCAGCTCCTCTGAGCAGATTTTACACTGGACCAGCACTTTGTGCTCTCTGTCTGCTCATGCCAACACCAACAAGTGTCCCCCTGGGGGGAATTGTCTCCAGAAGGTGCCAGGGCTGGGGTCTGCCCTCCCTGAGGCTGTGGAAGTGTCCAGGGCCAGGCTGGACAGAGCTGGGAGCAACCTGGGCTAGGGAAAGGTCCCTGCCCATGGCAGCGGGTGGGATGAGATAATAATTAAGGTCTTTTCCAACTCAAACCACTCTGGGATTCTAGGGCAGCTCAGTCCATACATGTGGGAAGCTGGAAGTGGAAGCTGGAAGTAGGAGTTGGAAGATTCTCAAAGCAGGGAGGTTATCCCAGAGATGGAAAACCTGGCCAAGTCTTCATGCCCCAGCCAGGGCTTGGTTTGGGGAAACAAAGGAGCAGCAATTGGGGCTTCCATTGAGCCCTGAGGCTCCAGGAGCTCACTGCTCTCACCTGCACCACATTCCCTTCCCCAGCAGGAATATTCATGCCCATCAGCTGAGGAGTTTCTATCCTGCAGATTTTGCCCAGGGCAGCAAAGAGGCTACAGCAAAATCTGCATCTCTGCAAACAGTGCCAGGTTTGTGCCCACTGCTGCAGTGCCCAGGGCCACAGGGGAGTGCAGCTGGCACCTCCACCAGCCTTGGGGGCTGTTTTAGACACAGAGGAGGTTCCTGGGCAGACAGAGGGGTGTAAATTACAGCCCAAGCAGCTTTCATGTGGCAATTAAATTCTCTCCCTAGCAAAGGGCCCAGACCAAGCTGCCACTGGTTTTTGAGGCTGTGCTCAGGCAGATCCACACCCAGAGACTTTCTTGGACTTTTTAATCTAATTACACAATAGTACTTAAACCTGTGAAGAAGAAGGACCAGCCTCTGCCCTAAAACCTCCATCTTGCTTTATATATATTACTGCATCCTAAAACTTTAATAAGTTTTCCACCCTGTGATATTACACCCTTCTCAAACTCCATTATTATCTAATTATAATATAAAATTATTCAGTAATTATTCATAATTCAATATGAATTCATAATTATTCAAACTCCACACCCACAATCCCATTTCTATCATTCCATTTTGGAAGCTTCCCTACAGCCTCAGGTCAATGCAGTGTTCTCTTGGGGGTCAGTGCCTGGCAGCACAGAAAGTCTGAAATTCTCAGCAGACAGGGTTCCAACATCTGGATGATGCAGACACCACTGGAGACAGGAAATGGGATGACGGCCTCCCCAGCTCTCCCTCTTCTTTTTGGGAGAGCTCTGTAGGATTGTAGTGCTGGCAAATCACCCATTAAACCACTGAAGTTCTGGCCCAAACCCACTCCTGGACAGGAGCTGCCATCCATGTGCAGAATTTCAGCTCAGCACACAAAAAGTTCCTTCCTGTTTGTATTTTGGGTATTTTGGGGGTTCAGAGAGGGGCAGGTGAGGGTGGGGGGAGGACTCCTGGCCTTCCTCACAGCCAGCCCTGTCTGTCCCCAGCGCCTGGTGAGGATGAACATGCCCATCTCCCCTGAGGATTTAACTGTGCACTTCACCTCCACGCTGATGGCCCTGATCCGCACAGCCCTGGAGATCAAACTGGCCTCAGGTGAGAGGAACACGGTGGCTGGGTCACCTGGAGATCCAACTGGCTTCTGCTGAGAGGAATGGGGTGGATTGGTCATCTGGAGATCAAACCAGGACAAAATTGGGGTTTTCTGAGAGCACAGTGGCTCACAGCCCAGCTCCTGACCACAAGATGGGCTTGGTTGGTCCCAGCAAGGTGCCAGAACACCAAGGACACAGATTTATCCCTTTATGGGCCATTCACTGAAAAGTTTGACTTAATCCTTGTGGGTCCCATCCATCTCAGAGTATTCAGTGAAATCTGTGGGCTTGGTGTCCTCCCAAAACCATGGAAATTCTGCCATAGAAGAATTTAGAATATAGGTGGGATTCCTGTCTTCCCATGCCAACACCTGAGGACAGGGGTGTAGTAAATCAAGGCAACCCTGACGTCTGGGGAGAAAATGAGGAGGACTCCATTGATATCAGAAGGCTAATTAATTACTTTATTATACTCTATTATTTTATGTTACACTACATCCAAACTGAATCTGCACACAACTGCACAGAATTTTGTGACTGTCCTCACACACACACCTGGATTCAATAGGTCAGTGAATCAAAACACTCACACCAGAATCTAATCAAGTAAATTCCTTCAGGTAAACAGTCTTCCTCAATGCATTCCACTTGTTCCAAAATACAGGAGCAGTAAATGAGATAAGAATTGTTTTTTCTTTCTCTGAGGTTCAGAGGATGTGAATCCCAGAAAATATCCTTGGGAATTTGTGCCTTGCTTTTCTCTGTGAAGAGAAATGTGGCCACGAAGGGGAGCTTGAGGAGAGGCCAGAGAGGTCCTGAGCATCCCTGTGCCTTTGGGGTGGCAGTGAAATGTGGGAATCTTTGCCCATCGCAGCTGAAGGGAAGCCCAGGACGTGTCCTCCTTTCTGTGAATCAAAAATGAGTTTCCACACCACCTCTGAACCATTCCAGCCCTTCCATGCTGGCAGCAAGGCAGGAACTGCAAGTGCCCTGCAGCACATTCCACCTTGAGATAAAATGGAATTATTGAGGTGGTTAATCAGGCGTTTACTCAGCTCCCAATTAAACCTTGCAGTGTAACAAATGCACCGGTCTTTTCTCTGGGTCGTTACCCCATCTCATCAGCCTGCCTGGGGTCACACTCAGCCATTCCTGGCCTAAATACTCTTACACCTAATTTAAAAGTTAACAAGAGGGAACCAGGCTCCAGGGAGCAGAGGCAAGGCAGGGTTAGGCTGCTGTGCTTTACTAAGCAGTTTTAGGCCAGTGCAAATATCTGAGTTAATCTCCTCCCTCCTGTGATGCTTTGGGGAGGCATTGCTGGAAGAGGACAAAATTTTGAGGTGCCTGGGGCTCCCCAAAGGAGTGGGATCAAGACAAGGATCAGACACTCATTTCTACAGATGCTTTTAGGATTTCCTGTGACTTTGAGAGCCAGCACCTTATTTCAGGAATAACTCCTAGCTAAGGATGCTGAGAGTTTGTTTAATTTTCAGTTTCTGGTTACCTGTCAGCCTTTTTTAACTGGAAAAGCTCCCCCCACCTTTATGAAAACTGGAAGGGAGCCAGAGAGGAGAACTCAGCTGATACCCTGGATTATTTCTGTGGTTTAGCTCTGCTCAGGGGTGTGAGGTTCTGACCTGTTTTGTTGTTATGAGCTCCCTTTGAATAGGTTTCATGTGCTACATTTAATTTGAGTCTTTAGCGGGCTTAACAGGCCCTTAATAAACCTCCCTAATGAGTTCCCTTGTGGGAGTTCAAACCATGGTGTAACAGAGTACCCAGAGCCTCCTCCCTCACTCTGCTCTTACAAAAATAATCTCTGTCATTCAGATGAACTCTTTAATTACCTGCTGTGTGGGGAATTCAGCTGGGAGCTGGCCTGGGGCTCACCCAGCCTTTAATCACTTTCCACGTGTGTATTCAGGCTGGCTTTGGGCCTTGGAACAGAGCTGTGGGTTTGGCTCTGCTCTACCCTGAATTTGTGTCATTTCAGGGGTTTTGGGAAGAGCTGGTGGGTTTGAGGAGGGTTTGTAATCCATCAGGACACTGCTCAGTGGAGGGTGAACCTGGCCATGGCAGAGGGTTGGGTAAGAGGATCTTTAAGGTCTTTTCCAACCTAAACCAGTCTGTTGTTACAGGATTCTGTGATTTGTAGCCATGATATTTTCTGAAAAATCCTTTCTTTAGGATTTTTTCTCCTGAGAAGCTGAGAGGCCTCAAGAACAAAATGTAAACATTGATTATCTGCTGCTGTGGAATGCAACAGGTGCATCTGTGATTGGTCTCATGTGGTTGTTTCTAATTAATGGCCAATCACAGTCAGCTGGTGTGGACTCTGTCCAAGCCACAGGCTTTTGTTATCATTCCTTCTTTTCTATTCTTAGCTAGCCTTCTGATGAAATCCTTTCTTCTATTCTTTTAGTATAGTTTTAATATAATATATATAATAAAATAATAAATCAAGCCTTCTGAAACATGGAGTCAGATCCTCATCTCTTCCCTCATCCTCAGACCCCTGTGAACACCATCACAGTGATTCATGCCTGAGTCCTTTCCATCCCACCTGGGAGGTGCTGCTGCCTCCACAGGCACTCCCCAATGGAAGAGGCACCTTCAGGTTAAGCATGGAATAAGTTTGAGCTCAAATTTAAGTCCCAGGTCACTGCTCAGTGTGAAAAACGCCAATCACTTGTTTTTAAAATTTTAAAAGTTTCATAGTAATTAATTGGTTCTAAAAACAGTAATACAGTTAGAGTAATAATAATTTGGACAAATTGAATTAGGACAATATGAGACAATAAATACAAAGAGTTATGGACAGTCCAGGTACCGTTTTCTGGGCAGCATGAGCCCGAAAAAGGATCCACGTTAAGAGAGGATTAACCCTTAAAAACAACAGAATGTTGCATATTCATACACCTCATACGTGATGCATAAATTCCATTCAAACGCAGGATTCTGTCTGGTCAGAGTCAGCTTCTTCCTCTGAATCTTAACAGCGCCTTCAAGGTGGGAAGAAGTTCGTTTCTTCTGATAAGAGTGAATAAATTCTTTTTCTCTGAAAGATTTAGGTGTCCTGGGGCTGCTAACTCAGTGTGAGTCCTTTCTTTAAAAAGGTATCCTACATAGCATAGTTTCTATTTTAACATTTTTTTATTACCTAAAACTGTATTTAACACAGTACTTAAGAGAATTAATACAGCATTACTTTCTGACACAACACATATAATATTCATTTTAATATTTGCAAAAAGCCAATCATAAAATATGTGCATTTTCCACAGTCAGGGTGTCCAGGGTGAGGCAAGGCTGGTCCTGCTGGGTTCCTGCACTTCTGTCATGGAGAATTCACAGATTCCCTGGGCAGGGAAGGGCTGTGCTGGCTCACCCTTCCCAAGGAACGGGAAAGGGGAATGCAAACAGTGGGATGTGCTCCAGGGCAGGGCTTCACTCCTCTCCTGTCCCTCCCTGGCTGCAGGAGGTGTGAAGCAGCACCAGTGTGATGCTGAGCTGAGGAAGGAGATCTCGCTGGTCTGGCCCAACCTGTCCCAGAAGACTCTGGATTTGCTGGTGCCTCCTCACAAACGTAAGTGCTTCAAGCACTGGGTACATCCCAGACACCCAGGAACCCCAGATTGGGTTTCTCCCTCCTCATTTGCTCTATCCAACCCCAGGTTAGGTTCTTCTGTCCTTGCCTGCTCTGTCCAACCCCAGATCAGGTTTTTCCCTCCTCATCTGCTCTATCCAGTCCCAGATTAGATTTCTCCCTCCTTGCCTGCTCTATTCAACCCCAGATTGGGTTTTTCCCTCCTCATCTGCTCTATCAAATCCCAGAACAGATTTTTCCCTCCTCATTTATTCTATCCAACCCCAGATTAGGTGTTTCCCTCCTCATTTGCTCTGTCAAACCGCAGATTAGATTCTCCCTCTTCATCTGCTCTATCTAACCCCTGATTAGGTTTTTCTCTCTTCATTTGCCCTATCCAACCCCAGATTAGGTTTCTCTCTCCTTGCCTGCTCTAT